CATAATTCTTGTCTTGCAAATGGCGTACGTTTTACCTTTCTCAGAAGTATGGAGTTTAAATTTCAGCATTTGTTGAAGCTGTAAGACAGTGGAGTTTCTTGTGCGAGAAGGAGAAAGCACGAGAACAAAGATGCTGAGCTGAAAATGAACCAGTGGTATGGCATTGAGCATAATAGGTAAGTAAGCAAATGTGGCTCGTGCTACGAAAGCACACTAATGCAGGCTGAAAGAATGTAAGTATTGCTTTTTTTCTCAGGGCACCTAACGATGATAGCATTCAGGAACGGAGGGATCACTGGACGAAAAAATTGCCGAAAACGAAAAGACCACACGAAACGGCACATGGAGCAGCGTTGGAAAGAAACGAGTTCGCCATCTCATGTCCGTGCGAGCGTGCATCGCGTCACGTGGCCGTCTCGCCGACGAAGCTTACCGTGCACTTTATTCATATTCATTCTTTAATCATAAGATACCCCGCAGCGCCCGAAGGCGTTATAGCAGGGGGGTTACATCAATAAATGACGTATATCTCTGTTCACACACACAATACAACTTTGTTCACACATAAATAACTGAAATACATTTTCGTTCACACACATAGTAGAATTGTGTTCACACATCAATACATCTTCGTTCAGGTTACAACACGAGTTTACAGCAGTGAATAAAATATACCTTCGTTCCAACTATGTACTTGCATTTCAGTTAGCCTGTTCCACTGTTTAATCGTTCTAGGAAAAAATGAATTGGCATACATGTCCGTTTTAGCTGGGTATTCCCGAATTTCGCAACTATGACCAAACGTTTTGAAGTGTAATGAGGGTTGTGTAGGTATATTTCTCTATTAATTCCACTTTTATTGTAGTTATTGAACAGCTCTCGTGCGGATAGCTGTGGCCGATGGTTTACAGCACCAAGTCGTTACGACAGACTTGCCACTATAGCGTGAGTGGGCCTAAAGCATGGCTCTGGTGGCTATTTCCCGAGTGTCGACGCGACCATTCGCGCCGGAGAAACCACACGTTCGCTAAGATGTGTCACTAAGCTAGTATATCACTCGACCTTGGTCACGTGTTTTGCGTACTTTTGCAATTCCTAATGCATCTGATGACACAAGCTTTTTGGGAAGGTTGATTCTTAACTTAATGAAACTTTCACGCCTTTTTTACATTGAAGAACTACAAGAATGGAATTTAACTGCCCTACCATTGTCGGAGAGCGAAAGAGCTGAAGTTTCATATTCATAGCGCGAAACGCAAAAAGACGGAGACACAGAAGGAACACATAAACATAACGTGCGCTAGTACTAACTAGCGCGCATCACCGCCTTGAGCTGAAGTTCTTTATCATTCTGAAGAATAGAAAGGAATGGAAAAGCTTATTCGCCTATTTCGCAAGACTAGTCCCAAAGCCACGATAAGATTATGAGAGCTGCCGTAGTAGAGGGCTACAGAAATTTCGACCATTTTGTGTTTTTTAATGCGCAGTGACTTAGCACAGTACATAGGCATCTACGATTTCGCCTTAATCAAAACGCAATGGCCTCGACTGAGATTGAACCCGTAACTCTTGGGTCAGCAGCTGAGCACTGCAGCCACTGTTACATGGAGGCAGGCATCTCTTACAGTATTTATTTATTTATTTATTTATTAATATTGTGAAATCTCGCTTGAGGGTCATAACAGGGAAAATAATCGTAGGCAGTTTCCACCCGATTCTGATGTTAAATACATTGTAGTCTATCTGGGAGAACCGTGAGTCTAGCCGTGATGAGGGAGTTTACTCATGAGTGAGCATAACAGTCGCTCACTGTTAGACTGACTCGACAATTTTAGAAAAGCGTTAGTAAGTATACTAAATTCTCCTTCAAAAGCACGCGTGTGAGTACGAGTGAGTGATGCGCTTCGGGAGTAGACATGAGTATTGACATGAGTGTGTATGAGTTAACGTGGCTGTGAAAGTGGGGGAGTGTAGGTAATTATAAATGAATGTGAGTGGGAACCCGAATAAGTGGTTGTTGATTTAACTTTTATCACGGTAAATTTCTATGAGTACCGGCAAAAAAGTGAATTGGCAAATGAGCGTGAGTCACTGTAAATGCTGAAAGAAAAAAAAACACGATGAGTGCATATCAGCGAGTGTTCAGTTGTAGTGTAGACCTGGGAGCCCAATGCTAAATCGCTATAACTGTAACGGCCAACGCATACGAGAAGAGAGTGCGTGACTAAACGAGCAAGGTGTTCTAACGAGCCACATCTGCATGAAAGAAGCATGCGTGTGATCGTGCTTTATAATAGTTGCAGAATTGCGCTGCTCGGATTACAGACAGATGTTCGAAGCCTCCATTTATTACGATTTCCTTCATTTAACTATACATCCCCACCCATATTACACGTACTTTAAAGAAAACTCGAAGTGTGTTGAGAATACAAGAATTCACCACACTATGCTCGAAAAAAAGTTTAAAAGTGTTAGGTAGTGTTACAACGCACGACACTGACTCAACAGAACATATAGGTGACACGTCGTTTATTCCAGGTCAGCCAGAGCTTCGGAGAACCCAAGCTCCCACGAAGCACGAGCGTCACGAGACCGGCGAACCGCGCTTCTTGCTGGTGATGATGATACTGCAGCTTCTCCCGTTCTTATAAGTTCAAATGATCAGGAGTGCAGCGCTTTCGCCTTGAGCGCCGCAAAGGTTGAGTGGCCGGAATCGGTGAATCTCTTGCGCTGTCACCCGAAAGTTCTTGACAGGCCGATAGCGTGTCGGTCATGATTCGTCAACTGAAACGTCCCGCCGTCGTACTTGGTCAAAATGCCGCCGTTCCGTTCCGTCAGTCGTGTCCAATGTGACTATGCGCTTGCCCTGATGGTCCCCCACGATACCTCGTGTCCACCTTTACCGCGGCCGGAACGTTCGTGTGGAAACACGCTGTCCTACCAGCCATCACTGTTGTCGATCGTTGCACGGCTTTGCTCTAAAAGCATCTGTGGTCGGCACAATGCAGTCGAGTTTCGTTAGTATTTGATACCCCAGCAAAAGCTCCTCTTTCACTGGCGCACGGCGGTAACGGAACAGAATTCTTGAAAGTCGAGTTTGTAGCGGACTTATTTCGTTTTTGTTCCAGCCTTCCTTCAAGGTTCTCATGGCTCGCTCTGCTAAACCATTTGATTAGGGATGATAAGGCATTGTCTTCAAATGTTGTATTTGGTTGGTCGCTAGGAAACTACGGAATCGGAAGCCCGTAAACTGAGGTCGCAAACACTGCCTTCAGGGCGTCCACTGTCACTTCTCCTGTTGCAGATTTCGTTAGAACTGCCTCCATCTACTTCGTTTCGGCATCTACAACTACCAATACCATGTGTCCTTCAATGGAACCTGCATATATAGTGGGTATGCAACCGGCTGCATTTCTCTGCCGTCGGGGGCCATGGTATAGGTGTTTGTGGTGGAGGTACCACCGCAGTCTGTATACAAGCAGGACATCCATGCACCAATTAGTGTCAGCAATGTGGTACATTTTACAGAAATGGATCCTCTGCTTCCGTTAGTGTCAGGTTCCTGAGAATCAGCAAATGTCGTCTCACATCTTCATCCAAGACTCCACACATGATTTGGTCTCGTAGCATGCGTTTGAGCGACGATCTGAAATTGCATTTTTCTGCCAGCCGCTTTGTTTCACCAATATATTCCTGTGACCCCTCTCCTTCTAGTTGTGATTGAGTAAAAAAACATAACTTGCCGCTATTTCCTTGATTTCAGGGGCGTAGTACTCCTAGAGGTAAATAACGGCATCGTCGTAGTTAAGGGAATTCATTTGCTTCGGCTGGCTACGTCATTGGACCACTTGAATCGCGCTGTCTGGTAGTGAGGCCACTAAGACTGCTCGTCACTTCGTCGTGTTCGTGATGTCTTTCGCTTCGAAGTAGGCTTCGAGGCGAACTTGGAACGTTGACCACGTTGCCTCAAACACTGTTGGCCATCCCACGCTCATGGCTTTGCGGGTCCAGGACTGGTTGAGGTCCTCGTTGTCCTCGTCACCACTGTTACAACGCACGACACTGACTCAACAGAACATAGGTGACACGTTGTTTAGTTCAGGTAAGCTAGAGCTTCAGCGAAACCGAGCTACCGCGCAGCGCGAGTGTTTCTAGACTGGCGAGCCGCGCTTTTCGAGGTTGACGATGATGCCACATGTAGTATAGAAACGTTGCTTTGATGAATGAGTAGGACAAGGTTCCTCATAGCACACGAAAATGTTGAGACGTCCAACTCGTCATAGTTTATGTATACCACCGCTCACTTGAAAATAGAGTAGTGCTGAGTTCTTGCAGCAATTCTCTCAAAAGCATGCAGACGTTGAAAAAAACGACTGAGACACTGCTAATACTGATGCACAACAGACGAAACTGCCCCACAAAGTGATCCACTAAATTCGTAGGGGTTCTTGCAAATGCAAATAGAGTTAGTTCTTCAAGTGAGAATATAAACCATGTCCATGGCAGTCACTTCTATTCCGAAAAAGGTGGAGTACAAAGACAAACAAGACAGAAAACACTTTTACTTATTTTGTGGCATGTTAGGAACATTCAGTTTACCAAGAGGTAAACGAAAACCAGTGTTACAACAGGTGGCAAGCAGTGCACTGGCTTGTGTAAAATTAAATGTCCTTCAATAAAAATTTATTGCGCGCTGTTAAGCTGAACTTTTGAAAGAACAAACCAGTCTGATATTTTCCAGGGCATATACTCGATACATCTGAAACAACGCAAATACAAAGACGTCCAGCTGGAACAGTCTGAAGGGTTATACCAACGTAATGTCTGATAATGAATTTTCGCAGAATCATCCTGGTACTAAATATTTATTTATAAAAGAGAGTTGTATTTTAATTATCAAATAACTAAACTTTTCTCACGCTAAGGGGTCATGGGCATAAAGCTTCGCTTTTAGTGTTTCACTGAGAGTCGAAGGAAAAGAAAATGACATTTGTTCTCACCTGATTCCAAGCGTCGTCTGGATGATTGTGCCTATACCAGATATGAAGAAAATTGTGGAGATAAGATATCCCCGTGCCGGATCCTCCTCACGCATGCACAGAGCCGGGGCCAAGGCGAAGGGATAACTCAGGGCCCCAGATGTCACTATCAGGTAGTGCTGAAAATGTGTTATGAGTGTGCATTAGCCACATTTAAGAGGCCAAATGCAATTATTAAAAAAATGCACACCACAACTTACAGTGAAACTAAGAGAATATTGATTGTTATTATGTTTGCAGAAGCACGTGAGAGATAAACGTGGACGCCTTCACTAACGTGTTACTTAGTGGTTGGGTATTCAAACAGCGTTGTGATGGTAAGCGAGAACAAAATAATCAACGACCATTCATAGTTAAAGCTATGCATCTTAGATAGACAATACGACGGTTAACAGTGAAAGGAAATAGCACTCTTTCCTGTCAATCCTCTGCCTTTTTTTTACGTGCATCGAGCACACGTGGATCAAAGATGTACTTTTGCCTATACGCCGACCACAGATTTTGGTGGAAGAACCAAGCTGTAAGTTTTTATGATGTCTATATATATGATGACTAGGCTAAAACAACAGTGATGGCTCCCACAGGATATGATGAAAATGCGGATGGTGGGATCAGCATTAAAACTCACTGTTATATAACAATGTTACGTGTACTTGAACTCATTACTACGTAAAAATGAGCTTTAGATGTAGCTCGCAGGTTACGCCAGAACTCGTATCAAAAGCCTTTACTGGCGCGCTATTCAGTTGAGCGTCAATTGCAGTATATAGATCTACTGCTATGAACTTGCCATCACGCGGAAATAGCCAATACCTGAAGACCGAGTACAGCGCTGAAGTACCACGCCGGTCTGTCATCGACCCCGTAGAACATGGCCTTGTCCGAGGACTTCTGCGTGGCAAGTGTCTTGATTACTTCCTGAAAGATTGACACCAACCTTCGTTTGCGTTCCGTAGATTGCACTTTTCATAATCAGCTTCTACAGTGATAAAAAGACTTTCACTCCCAAATTATTCAGATGTGTAGTCTAGTGTTGCAATTTTCTGGTTTCACTAACCTACACACTGCCAAGGGCATCAGTGTTCATTAAGGCTTCATGAATGTGGTATGTTGGTAGGCATGAAAACTCTATATTTTGCACACATATTCTCTTAATGTACATTGTTTTTAACATGAATTTGTAACACCTTTAACTATCGTGATCAGCTGATGTTCGAACGCCGGTCAATGGGAGACTGTTAGGCCGTAAGAAGCGTTTTAAACAGCGGCGATTTTTCGTATACACATTTAGCTATTGCATACCAAAATACGAGAGTGGTAAAACAATTGCGTGTGCGAAAAAAACAAGAAAAAAAAGAAAAGTACGCAGCTTGCGCTGGTAGCGCAAGACTGTGATCGTCAGAAGAGCTGTGTTCAACCTATGAATATAAGTTTTGCCAGTAATTCCAACCGTTTGCTACATAGTAACGTTTTGCTAGTAGTACTAAGTATGACTACACATGACTAGGTGCGTCACATGACTACCAGTTGCACATTAAAATTTTTGTTACGTGACTAGTGGTTAACGTGGTTTTTAGAGAGAAAACGTCACGTGACTAGCTATTACGTGATGACGTCTGATTTCAGTGACGTGAGTAAAGAATACGGGACATTTAGTCGCTTGGCTAGATCCTGTGAGATTTCAGTCACGTGAGTAGCTCGTGAGGTTACGTGATTCTAAACAGGCGACTAGTTAAGGGACGTTCCGTGATTTTAGCAACGCGAGGGTTTCGTAATTTTAGCAATGCGACCAGCTTTTACGTTTTTACGGAATTTTTAGTCATGTAACAGACTCGCCCATAATAGATATTGTATTGCACACCGTATGAATTGGCGGACTTGTCGTGGGCGCGTTGCAGAAGCTGAAAAGGACGAAAACAGTGATTGCTGCTTCAAAATAAAACTGCTCATCCTACTGCACGGTGTACAAAACGTTTGAAGAGCTCCGCTCTTAAGTAAATAAAATTGAGGGTAATCATTGGCGTCACAGTTGTTGACATATCAATGCTTCTAAGAAGTTGTGATGCATCATTTCTTTCTTTCATTTTGCCACAGGGGTGAGAGAATGAAAGATATAAATATATTTACAAAATATACAAGGAGAGTCAGAGGCAGCTGCAGCCAAGATAGAGGTACAACAGCAACAACATGAGCGCGATCGCATTAATCGTTCATCGTCTACCTGATGCTCTCTGGTTGCCGACGTCGTGTATCATATAACCCCCCGCCACCGGTAGCACCGTCTCGGCGCCTGAAGGAGAGTAGCATCATATGCGGAGATGTATGGTTTCAGACGGGACACGTAGACGTAGAGTGTGGACGACGACGACTGACTGTCCAACGGAGCGATCTCATATGTGACCTCAGTAAGCCGGCGTAAAACCTTGTAAGGCCCCAAGTAGCAAGATAGGAGCTTCGAAGAAAGGCCAACGTGGCGGCATGGTGTCCAGAGGAGGACCATTGAACCTAGAGAGTAAGAAACTACTCTGTGATGGCTATTGTAGCGGGCCTTCTGAGAGAGCTGCGAGCCAAGAAGGCGTTCCCGTGCGATTTGGGGGGTCACTTGAGCTCGAGCAGTGGACTCCCTGGCGTATTCTGTAACCGTTTGCATAGTTGATGGGAGAAGAGTCTCGAAGAGTAACGCTGCATGGCGGCCGAACAATAAATAGAATGGGGAGAAGCAAGCTGTGTCGTGGCGTGACGAATTGTATACAAATGTCACATAAGGCAAAGTACTATTCCAATCAAGGTGATCTTTGGAAACGTACATGCAGATCATTGTTGTCGAGGTTCAATTTAGGTGCTCGGGACAACCATTTGTTTCGGGTGGTACGCCATAGTGAGCTTGTGACGCGTCGAGCACGAGCGAAGGATGTCACTTACTACTTTTAAAAGAAATGAGCGACCACGATCGGTCAGCAGCTGTCGAGGAGTGTCATGGTGAAGAATTACGTCATGAAGCAAGAAGTCCGCGACGTCAGTGGCACAGCTTGTCGGTAGCGCTCGTGTGATAGCGTATCCTGTGGCGTAGCCAGTGGCTACGGCTATCCACTTGTTTCCTGTGAGAGAAGTAGGAAATGGTCCAACGAGATCAAGACCGACGTGGTAGAATGGGATGGTGGGCATGTCTATTGGTTGGAGTGGTCCAGCTGGTGGCAAGGTGGAATGTTTGGAGAGCTGGCAGGACTCACAAGCAGCAACATGTCGGCGCACAGAACGGTAAAAGCCTGGCCAGAAGAATCTACACCACACACGATCGTACGTACGCGTGACGCTGATATGCCCAGCGGTTGGGGCGTCGTGAAGCTGCTCAAAAACAGCGGAACGGAGTGTCGCAGAAACTATGAGTAGTAGCTCTGGTCCCTCGGCGCTCATAATGCGTCGGTAAAGAATGCTATCACGCCGATCAAACAAGTGCAGCGACAGGTCTACGTGGGGCAAACGTAGACTCTGCATGATAGGCCGCAAGTGGACATCGCTGAGCTGTCCCTTGCGTATGTCTGGGAAAGCAGGCATGGCGAAGACGCAAGGGTCAAAATCATGTGCTAAAACGTCGGGTGGGTCCATGGGGTGACGCGATAGACATTTGGCATCTTGGTGCATAAGGCCAGATTTGTATGCCATGTCAAAGCTGTGTTCTTGCAGTTTTAAGGCCCAACGGCCAAGTCGTCCAGTTGGATCTTTAAGAGACGACAGCCAGCACAAAGCATGGTGATCTGTAATTACCGAAAAGGTGCGGCCAAACAAGTATGGTCAAAATGTTTTGACTGCCAAGACTAGGGCGCGTCACTCACGCTCTGTGATGGAAAACTTGCTCTCCGAAGAAGAAAGGAGGCGACTGGCAAAAGCGATGGTATGATCCTGTCCTCGTTGCCGCTTGGCGAGAACAGCACCGATTAAATGCCTGCTGGCATCGGTACAAACTTAAGTATGGGCTGACGTGTCTAAATGGGCCAAGATGGATGGGGAAGTAAGTGATGTTCTAAGGGTGCTGAAGCCAGTTCCTTTGTCAGAACCCCAATAAAAATCATGTCCTTCTTCAGTAGTTCCGTAAGAGGTTGGGCAATGTCAGCGAAATTCTTCACAAAACGTCGAAACTAAGAGCACATGCCGATGAAGCTGCGTACATCTTTCGCGGAACGTGGTACGGGAAAATTTTTGACATCTAGAATTTTGTCAGGATCCGGTTGCACGCCTTGATCACTGACAAGGTGGCCCAGCACAGTGATTTCCCGACGGCCAAAGCGACATTTGGAAGAGTTGAGCTGAAGTCCTGATGTCCAGAATTCCTCAAAAACAGCTGATAGGCGGCTAAGGTGGCTCTAAAATGTAGGTGAAAATAAGATGACGTCATCGAGATAGCACAGGCATGTGGACTGTTTGCATCCACGCAAGAGAGAGTTCATCATCATTTCAAATGTAGCTGGGTCATTACACAATTCGAATGGCATAACCATGAACTGGAAAAGTCCATCCGGTGTAATGAATGCAGTTTTCTCACGGTCTCGATGATCGACAGAAATCTGCCAGTATCCTGATCGTAAGTCGATAGATGAAAAGTAGGCAGACCCAAGTAGGCAGCCGAGAGCATCGTCAATCCGCGGCAAAGGATACACGTCTTTACGTGTTACGTTGTTTAAGTGACGGTGGTCTGCGAAAAAGCGCCAGCTGCCATCCTTCTTCTTAACTAGCCCGACCGGTGATGCCCATGAACGGCAGGAAGGTTTGATGACGTTTTTTGTGAGCATTTTTTGAACTTCGTGCACGATATCTTGTCACTCAGCATGTGACACCCGATAAGGACGTCGTCGGATGGGGCTGGCTTCTCCAGTGTTAATCCAGTGATTTGCGAAGGATGTCTGACGCAAAGGACGGTCACCTAAATCAAAGTTGTCACAGTAGGACTTCAGCAGGTGCCGGATATCAGCTGTCTGTGCTTGAAGAAGGTCAGGGGCGATCATCTTGTCTATGGTGGAATTCGTCGCGCTCTTCGAGGAGGAGAATGAATCAGAGGACGAAGAAGCTTCGGCAACGAACTCTAAAATGGCAGCATCTATAGCAGAAACTTTTGCCAAAGTCATATCATCTGGGATGACTTGAGCACGCCAGCTGAAGTTTAGGATCGGAAGAGATGCTGTATTTCCCATGACTGTCAAAAATGTGTGAGGCACGGCAACATTTTTGGCCAGCAGAACGTCAGCACTAGGTGTCAACATGTAGGCACCGTCGCGAACAAAAGGGACAGATCTAAGGTTCACGTAGGTAACGGCTTGAGGTGCTAGGCGAACGCGATCTACAGAACACAGACGTGGTTGAGCTGGTGTTGGGTCGTCATGGTAACACGGTAAATCAAGTTGAAGCATGACGGTTCCACAATCAATAAGGGCAGAGTGAGCGGATAAAAAGTTCATGCCGAGAATAAGTTCATGGGAACATTTCTCGAGCACAGCAAATATCACTGTCGTGGAGCGATCAGCAAAACTTATACGCATGGAGCACATTACAAGCACGGGAAACGTGCCATCGTCAGCGACCTGGATGAGTGGTACTGTGGGTGGCTCTAAAGCTTTCCTAAGGCGGCAACCAAGTTATGAATTCATCACTGATATGTGAGCCCCTGTGTCCACAAGTGCAACAACGGGTGTGTCGTCTACTTCAGCTTCAATAAGGGTGCATCGATTCGGCAGCATGGTCCGATGATTTGGCAGGCAAGTGGGCGATGCAGCATCACCTCCGGGAGCTGCATCATCTAGTTTTCCCATGGCAACTGTTCAGTCAACGACGTTGGTCAGCGAAATTGGAGTTAGCGAGACGACGGGCGACGGGAGAGAGGTGAACAGGACTACTGAGCATGCGGAGTTGGAGAACGACGACGATAT